CTATTAAAAAAAGACATATGTGCTGAGAGCGCAAGCCCTGCTCATGGAAAGGTCCCGATCTTCTCTTTCGATCGGGACCTTTCCCGATCATGTGACCACCGTGACGGTGTCTCACAGTGTTAACATGACCCTAAACCCCGCCCCGCATCCCAGCTTCTGAAACCCTTAAAGGGCCGGGAGGCACTGGCGTGAAGGGGTTAAACCTTCCTGTGCTTCTCCTCTTTGCCTTGGTGTTTGCTCCTGACCTGTGTTTCTGCATTCTGATCCTGATCCGGACCCTGCAGTCTGATCCCTTACCTGCCTACTTGTTCCTTCTCCCCTTTACCTTCTCCCTGTCCTGGCTTGCTCCCTGCTCCTTCTGCCTGACCTCCCATGTATGACCCTGGGTCTGACACCGGCTACGCTTCTTGTATTCTACTATTTGTATATATTTGGTTTGGGCAGTTGTTCATTGCTTGTTCACTCACTAATTAAAATCTCTAGTTTGATTTATGCAGTTCTGATATATTGGAGGTGCGTTTGCATTTTTGTTATTCACTTATTCTTAATAAATTGCATTATTTTACATTATACTTGTGCCTGGTATTCTTTATGCAAGTCCACACATTCCTGGCCACACCTGTTCCACAGGATACCAACACTCTGTATCCCTGACAGTAAGCGTGACACTCTCACTCTTCCAATATCTTCCAGACATCTCTCCAATGATACCAGACTAGATCCCCAGATTAAAAAGTCCCTCAATTAACTCTGGCAGCTTTCAGCAGAATAGACCCTCCAGCTAGCCTAGTTGGAACCTAGATGAACAGCAGACACATGGCAGCAGCCCTCCAGGCCGGAATTGGCCAGGGTTGCATAAATATTCAGCTAGTGATTGCACTCTCCCAGTCCACTGTCTTCCAGAACCTTTCAGGCAGACAGGGGGGAAGCAGTCAACCGTGCAGCCAGTGACACACAGAACAGACCAAAACAATCACATACAGCTCAACTGATTACAGTGAGCCCAAAATTAAATTTACCTAACCTACCACCTATCTAGAAGAGTACTACATTCATGACTTCCCTTGCCCAGTCAATGCCTTGTATGCTTTGAAAAGAAAATGTGTTTGGACTCCCATTACTGGAGGGGAACTGGATAGAACCATAAAAGAAATGAAATTAAGCAAAAGTCTTGGCCCAGATGGCTTAACCCTCCAATATTATAAAACCTTCTTGGATATTCTGAAGCCAAGTTTTCTAGCTGCCTTCACCTGTTTGGGTTCTTTCCCATCATGGACTTCTCATCTTTTGGAGGCACATATTGTGGTAGTACCTAAGAAGGGGAAAGATGATACACTAGTCACGAATTACCATCATATCTCCCTTGTAAACGTGGATGTGAAGCTTTACTCAAAAATCTTAGCCAATCAGTTACTACCCTTCTTATCTCTCCCCGGGATCAAGTAGGTTCATTCCAGGCCAAGAAGCCCATGACAACACCATTAAGGCACTGAATCTTCACCACTGGCTGACCTCACAGAAAAAAAGGGGGTTCTGCCTGTCACGTGATGCCGAGAAGGCCTTTGATAGGGCTATCTGAGACTACTTAGCAGCAAACCTTAAGGCAATCGGCCTTCTACCGAAGATGCTCAACAACATCCAGGCTCTTTACTCTAATCCTTCGGCAAGGGTACGTGTAAATGGCCACCTTTCCAGCAATTTCTGTCTGAACAATGGCACGAGGCAGGGTTGCCCTCTGTCCCCTCTCTTATATGTTCTTTCCCTTGAGCCATTCCTGAATAGAACAAGGTCAAACCCTAGCATACATGGGGTAGAGGTCCATGGCACTACATATAAAGTGGCCGCCTTCGTGGACGACATGCTCCTCTTTCTAACTGAACCCCATTTATCACTGCCGAACTTACTTCAGAATTTGGAACAGTTCAAATCACTCCCTAATCTTAAAATGAATTATTCCAAATCACAAGCTCTGAATATTACTCTCTCGGATAAGGAGATGGGACACTGCCAATCTAATTTCCCTTTTTCTTGGTGCTCTGAAGCCTTGAAATACCTAGGCATCCGCATACTGCATTGTCTCTCTGAGATTTTCTGCCAGAATCACCTAATTATTTTGGAGGACATGCGTACAGACATGTGTGCCTGAAACTCACTGAATGTATCTTGGTTTGGAAGGGCAGCCTTAGTAAAATGTCCCTTCTTCCCCGCATATTAAATATTATGTAAACGGTCCCGATTCTAGTTCCTTCTACCTTTTTTTCCACTTACAAGGAGAGTGTACCCTTTTCATTTGGCGCCAAAAACCCAGTGGATTAAATACACCCGACTGACGAGTCGAAAGCACAAAGGAGGCATAGGCCTTCCAGATCTCTATAGCTATTACAAGGCTATTGAAAGGAAGGGAAAGCAGAAAAGAAAATTATCTCATCTAGTGGATTGGAATGTTCATGCATCATCCAAGGATTGGGTCCCCTTGGAGGACTCACTGATTTTGGCACTGTTACATCTACTGCCTTGGACACACCCCATCTCAGGTTCCTTCTGGGGCTAAAAAGCACCCCTTCATTGGCCCGCGCCCCCAAACTTTCCACCGAGATTTCCTTTCCGACTCGAGGGAGGTTTAACGTTGGACCCCTAACACCCTTACGCTTTAATCCTTCCTTTCCACCTGGAATGTCCATTTTTTTTTTCCCAACAGGATTTGCCACACAGAGATGTCTTAGCCATGCATTTCTTTCATCGGGGAGTAGTTTTATCTAGAGATGCTCTTAATGCCAAACTAGCTCCATTTGAACTATCACATTGGACTTGCCTCCAAATCTACCATTTCTTGTCTACAAGGGGTTCCAGGGCTATGTGGACTAGACCACTGTCACCCTTGGAAATTCCTTGCATATACTCTATACCCCACGAAACGTTATTTCCACCTTATATACTTCTTTGCTAGACACCTCTTTGGCATTTACGAATTCAGCCTACACTCATTGGTCTAGAGACCTTTCTGATGAAGAGTGGGAGACCATTTGCATATACATCCATAAAGGCTCGTCAGACGTTGCTGTTCAGGAAAACAGGTACAAAGTCTTATCTCGCTGGTACTGTACACCCTCTCTATTGCATACATTTTATCCCTCGGTTTCCTATCTCTGTTGGCGATGTGGAGAGGCCCCTGGGTCAATGCTCCACATATGGTGGAAATGTTCTCGCTTACAGCCATTGGATTCAGGTCGACATTATTATCACCAAGGTGACATCTTATACGTTGGAGTTTACGCCAGTGCAATATTTACTCCATCATACTTCACTTACCAAGAGAGAATACAACAAATCTTTGGCTATGAGCATGGTTAATGTAGCTAAATTATGTATACCTTGTCATTGGCATAATACTAATATACCTACAATACAGGAATGGTTCAACAGAATCAACAAAATGGAGGAGATGGAGGAATTGATTCACATTACTCAAGATAGGATGTCAAGGTTTACTATCACATAGACTTGCTGGATGGATTTCAGCAAAGCAGCTGTATATAGATCCCATTAATAAATTATTTTGGGGCCCCCTTTATATTTGAAATTTGGTGAAACTCCCACCCCATTCTATTCAGATTTTGGGAAATTGGGTAGGGTGGGATCCAGTGGACAAGTGGTACATGTGGGGGCTGCGAGAGGGCTGCTTCTTTCTCTTTTTCCCTCCCCCCCCCCTTTTTTTTTCTCTCTCTGTTCAGAGTTCAATTGTTTTTTTCTTTTCTGCTCTCCCTTCCTTTCAATTATCTTCTGCTTTTGTTTGCTGTGTTGTAGCACGTCTAAAACAGAACACCAAAAAGGCGATGTGATACACATAACGGGGACTCATTTTTACTAATAGACTTATAATATTTAACAATTGATGTGTTTTTCAGTGTAAGTCTGAATTGGAAATAGGCATGTTCCATGTTTAATCAAGGGCCTGTCTACATGTTTCATGTATGCTTTTTTCTCTGAATATCCATGGAAGTTAAATGTTAAATTATAATATTGTATACTGCACATTTTTTTCCTTAATAAAATATTTATGAAAAAAGAAAAAGAAAATGTGTTTGGGCATAATACCACATTAAGCCAGCCACATTCCCTACAAAAAGGAATTTCCCGGGGGGGGGGGAAAACAACCCCCAACTTGTAACATTCACCTGCCTGAAGTTCCAAAGTTTTACCATGTGACGGAGATCAGAAATATTATTTTATTTTGTTGTTGTTTGTTGGAATTGACACATGTGTCCAGCAGCCAGCTTCTCTGCTTAGTTGAAATTGGGAGTTCCTTTGCCCCGCAGGGGTGGGAGATGAGAATGATCCCAGCAGGGAACACAGACAGCATGGTGTCCTGTGGCTGTGAAAAGCCAGGCGTGTCGGCACCGGGAGCTTGGGGCTTGGTCAAATTGAAAGGATGATATAATGTCCCTATGGGGGGAGAGGGGCAGAGTTTGAGTCAGGATGGAGAGAGCAGCTCATGGCTGCAGGCCTTGCTAGGAAATGCATTGAACTGTGCTTTGCTTTGTGCACTGTTGGGACTTGTGGTTTTACCTTGCCTGTGTGGTCTTGAAGCTGTGGCCAAGACACATAGCCCTCTGAAGACCCATGAGGAGTACATACCTATCTGCCCAGACTTCCTCTGCTGAGGCCACTGCTGGCTGGTGAGTCCCTGAATTGCTACCCTGTGCTCTGCCTGTCTGCTGTGTGCCACCTCCTGTGCTGAGGACCCAACCTGGACTTAATCCTTGCCCGCCAGAGTTCTGTCTGTCGCTGTGTGCCATCCCCTGTGCTGAGGACCCAACCTGGACTTAATCCTTGCCCGTCAGAGTTCTGCCCGTCTGCTGTGTGCCATCCCCTGTGCTGAGGATCCATCTTGGACTTACCATATTTTTAGCTTCTTATAGCAGTTTTTTCCCCCCCAAAAAGGGGGGGGGAAATGTCAGTGCGTCTTATGGAGCGAATATGGAGCGGCCGGTCCGGTATTCCTACCGCCACTGTGTCAGAATGCCGGGCCGGCCGCTCTCGTCTCTTCTCTGCAGCAGAAACTTACCTGTTCCTCGGTCCAGCGCTGTACAGTCTTCCAGCGCTGGCATCTTTAGTGTGGGCACTCGACTGTGAAAGCCGGGTGCCCACTGCACATGCGCGAGAAGAACTGTGCTTTGTGAATGGTATGGTGTCTTCTGGGACACATGACAGGTCCCAGAAGACCCTGGACCAATCACAAAGCGCAGCGCTTCTCGCTTTCAGCCGGGTGCTCTCACTAAAGGGAGGACAAATTCAGGTTCCCACTCCCCCTCCCTCCCCAAAGGTCCACAGTCTCTTGGTCATCCCCTGTACTGTCTGCAGTCTCTGGTCATCCCCTGCACCGTCCGCAGTCTCTGGTCATCCCCTGCACCGTCCGCGGTCTCTGGTCATCCCCTGCACCGTCCGCGGTCTCTGGTCATCTCCTGTACTGTGTCCGCAGTCTCTGGTCACCTCCTGTACTGTGTCCGCAGTCTCTGGTCATCTCCTGTACTGTGTCCGCAGTCTCTGGTCACCTCCTGTACTATGTCCGCAGTCTCTGGTCACCTCCTGTACTATATCCGTAATCGCTGGTCATCTCCTGTACTGTCTGCAGTCTCTGGTCATCTCCTGTACTATGTCCGCAGTCTCTGGTCATCTCCTGTACTATGTCCGCAGTCTCTGGTCACCTCCTGTACTATGTCCGCAGTCTCTGGTCACCTCCTGTACTGTGTCCACAGTCTCTGGTCATCTCCTGTACTGTGTCCGCAGTCTCTGGTCACCTCCTGTACTATGTCCGCAGTCTCTGGTCACCTCCTGTACTATGTCCGCAGTCTCTGGTCACCTCCTCTACTATGTCCGTAATCGCTGGTCATCTCCTGTACTGTCTGCAGTCTCTGGTCATCTCCTGTACTGTGTCCGCAGTCTTTGGTCATCTCCTGTCCTGTGTCCGCAGTCTCTGGTCATCTCCTGTACTATGTCCGCAGTCTCTGGCCATCTCCTGTACTATGTCTGCAGTCTCTGGTCACCTCCTGTACTATGTCCGTAATCGCTGGTCATCTCCTGTACTGTCTGCAGTCTCTGGTCATCTCCTGTACTATGTCCGCAGTCTCTGGTCATCTCCTGTACTGTGTCCGCAGTCTCTGGTCATCTCCTGGACTATGTCTGCAGTCTCTGGTCATCTTCTGTACTATGTCCGCAGTCTCTGGTCACCTCCTGTACTATGTCCGTAATCGCTGGTCATCTCCTGTACTGTCTGCAGTCTCTGGTCATCTCCTGTACTGTGGCCGCAGTCTCTGGTCATCTCCTGTACTGTGTCCGCAGTCTCTGGTCATCTCCTGTACTGTGTCTGCAGTCTCTGGTCATCTCCTGTACTATGTCCGCAGTCTCTGGTCATCTCCTGTACTGTGTCTGCAGTCTCTGGTCATCTCCTGTACTATGTCTGCAGTCCATTGGTTCAGAATATTTTTTTCTTGTTTTCCTCCTCTAAAACCTAGGTGCGTCTTATGGAGCGAAAAATAATCCTTGCCTGCCTGAGTTCTGCTGCCCTGTTGTGTGTCACTAGGGCTTAACCCATTGCCTGCCAGTCTGCCACCCTGTTGTGTGCCATTTGGATTTAACCCATTGCCTGCCAGAGCCTGCTCCCTGTTGTGTCCCACCCTGTGGCACTGACTTAACTTTTGTTTTGCCAGTACCTTGCTATACTCATCGTGTGCCCTCCAAATAATTCAATAAAAGCCTTGTGTGTCCCACTGCTCTCCGCCTGTTTTCTGTTCCACCCACACCTCGGTCACATACCAAGACTATGAACTTCAGGTACAGATTTTACCTGCAACACCTCTAACTGGTGAAATCAAATATCAGGCTGACTGACCCCATACCAAAGACCCTTTGCATCTGAATGATTGGACTAGCTACTGTATACAAGGGAGCTGCAGAAGATGGAATCGCCATCCTGTTGTTACACAAGGGTGTTCAAACTGTACAGCGAAATAATAATTTTTTATTTGTTTTAGAAATCCCCTTTAAAATGTGTCATTTATTCACAGTCTTGAAGCCTCAGGAGTCTTCCCCTGAATAAAGAAAATCCCTGGTCTATACATTAAGGTAAGGCATCGGTCGCTGACTGTCATCCAGAACATTCCATGTGAAAGCTCGTCAAAAGGCACCTAAAAATAGCTGTGTTTCATGTGCGGTTTTATGGTCCAATGGAAGAGACTCTCGAAAAGACTCAAGAAGAAAGAAAACCTTGAGGTTGCTGTTGTAAAATGATCTGAATATAGTTTTATTGGGATGCCATCTTTATAGTGCAAATACAATGCAACCTATATGTAGAACAAAGGTCCCTTCACCATGATGAATATCTGCACTTAATTATTGGTGTATTTTTTCATGTACTGTTTATGTCTTGTCTTTTAATTGATACAACCACATTAATTAATAATCATTAATATAACAACAAATGTATTTTTTAAATGCAAGAAGAGTACGCATTTGAAATTTGACCTAGTAGTGGCAGTTGATATGCTAGTTCCCAATCTCAGGGGGGCCACATAACAAACTTCACTGCTGAGGACTTTAGGAGACCTCCATTCTAACATTGGTTTACTGGTTATGGCTTACAATTTTAACAGCGAGTCCCTGGTCTACTAGCTACACATACTATAGCTAACAGGGTCCTATCTTTGGTAGTTGCCGACCAGATCCCTCCAGGGTTCTGCCAACTATTTCAAGGCCACCAGGCTACTGGATGCATGGTGCACCACCCTACTGTACCAATCACAGGCCAACCCACCAGGGCACCATTGCCTCTCACTGAGCTAAGTTCCACACAGGGTTCCCCAGGTATAGGCCACCCATCTTATTAGGCAAGGAAGAGACTGACATGACCTTGTAGAATACAGTTTTATTGATCACACAGGAAACTCTTCATACATTCATGATGGGCACAGCATAACTTAGTCGAACTTTTAGATTAGGTATAGGAAGCCCTGTACTCTTTGAGGACGTGCGTAGCACGAAACGCGTCAGTGAGGGCTACAGCATCTGGACATCTAGCCACCGCTGGTGGCCATCCTGAATCATTGCGGTCAGTACTTTTGGTTTTTATCTCTACTTCTGGAAATAAAGTACATTTATGCAGTATCACGCTATGTGATGTCCCTTATTGGGCTCTCTTTATGAGCGCCACCCTTCCGCAGTACCAAACTTAAGGAGTGACCCCAGAGGTGCATGAGTGTCTGATGAACCAGGGAACCTTGCCATGATGGATGACCAGTGGGGACTAGAGAGCGCAACTTGACCTGAGTGCAGAGGACCTAGATGTACCCAATGAGAGAGGAAACTTCTTTCATGCGTATTTTAAACGCACTTCTGGTGAGTGCGCATTTCATTTATCTCTTGTTCACCTTCGGATCACTTATCCTTACTGGCAAAGGAGACCCGGCAGAATTTGCACATCACATCCTTTTCGTGTTTTGGACACTAGATTGAACATCGAATTTTATTATAAATGAAATAATATGATCTAACACCACTATTTGCATATTCTTAGAAATTGTGTCTATGTTGATATTTCACTACCTTTATTTATAGCGCTGCACCTTTATTATTTTCAAACGAACTTTTAGATTAGTTTCATGAAGTGCCATCCTCTGCCAACTCTGCAATACTCTTTATCAAATAGTCACCCAGCTAATCCGGTCTGTCCCACTCAAGGGTAGGGAGTGTTCCAGAGTTACAAAGAGGGGAACTTCGTGGCCTCTGCTGATGACGCCCTAGGATTCCCAAGAGGGCCTAAATCAGCAATACCTGTCCTCTTTTTCTCTTCTTTCTACTCCACCAACAACTAACTCCCCCCTACTCTCCTATTTGTATAGTGCTTATCTAAGTATGGAGACTACTAGGAGGCTAACATTCAACAAAAAAAGAGAAGCTAGAGCTGGAAGTGTCACAGTCTCAGTGCAGCAGGGCTGGAGTGTAAGATGAAGAAGCAGTACAAGGAGTCAATCAGTTCATGTGCTAACAAAAAGCTTGCTGATAGGAGGCGAGAGCAGAATGACAGAAAGATGACCTCATCACTTTGCTGCTACTTCTTCTGTCACTGTCCTGGATGACCTGGGCACAGAGGAAGTGTGTTTAATAAGGATCAGGATGAGGACATCTAGGTTTAGAAAAATTACCAAGGGAACATCTCTGGAATAAAGGTGAATATTGCAGCAAAGGTTTTTTTGTTATTTAATTTTTAGTAGGCTCTTCATTTTATCTTGTGTTAATTTTGACTGGAGTTCTGCTTTAGTGGCCCATGGCTGGGCAGAAGGACAGAATAAAGGGACAACATTCAGTAAATTTACAAGCTGCCCTAGAGTTCATGCTATAGTGACCCTCTACTTCCTATTAACAGAACATCTCCTACTTTTCAGTGGTCCAGTCTCATGCTTCTTTCAACCATGGCCCACTGGTACCTGCACCAGCTGTCATAATACTGTTGCTGGGGACCTCTAGGCAAGGCATCACTGAACAAAGTAGCACAAAATATACCAAACCTTACAGATATCACAATCAGGTCCACCAGTAAGAATGCCCATGTGCACAGGTACAGGTTCCTTCTCCTCTTCACTAGCTAAAAGTCATATTACCCCCTCTATAATATGGCCCAATCAGAAACCAGAGGCAGGTGGCAGTACTAAGTGGTATGATTTTTCAATGTCAAACCCACTGCAAAAACAACGTGGAGCAGTTATTTGGCCTGAGCACCATTGAATAGGCAAATGAATCTCCGCCTACTTAAAAAAAAGTAAGGGCCTATGTTGACACTCTTTGGTCAATGTCAGGGGTCAGGTTCAGAGACCAGTAGTTATAACAGTGGAGCAGCTCTCACCGACCAGCTGGATAAGTACACAATCAGGTCACCCTAGAGGATGACACAGGCTCATTTGAGGTGCTGCGTCTAAGCACTAACCCATATTCATGAGAGCTCTTGATGGTGGAGAGGGTTGTGCTGCATGTTAGTACCAGATTGCGGTCCTCAGGATCACCCCACCAGTAGATAGCTGGGGTCCAGTAGCAGATGTATCTGGTAGGGACGGGGGCGGACTGAAAACTCATGGGCCCCCCGGGCAATAGGGGATCATGGGGCCCCTGTGTCCTTGCCCAAACTCAAAAAAGCCTATGAAAAAGGTACCAGGGGCATCTCATGGGGCCCCCTACTGACCCCGTGCCCTCAGGCAGTGCCCGAGTTTCCAAATGGTCAGTCCACCCCTGGGTAGGGATCAAGCAGAAGCATAGTCAGTAAACAAGCCAAAGGTCAGTAACAAGTGCTTGCAGATTGGGATCAAGCCGAAGCATATTCGAGGAACAAACCAAAGGTCGGTAATGAGTGGCAGTGAAGATAAGGACAGCTGTAGATACACAAAGAAGCAAGATATCAGCAGGAGAGAGCACAAAAATCTAGCAAACAGGAAGTACAGAGACATGGCTTAAATCAGGAGGATCATGGGAGGATCAAAGAGTTCAAGGTTCACCAGAAACAAGAGACAAGGCAAGGTAGTCCTAGGAGATCAGACAGAAAGCTAGCCAGCATCTCTGGTGGCACAGCGAGAAGAGCTACAGCCATACACCACAGAGATTGCAGGTTCAGATCTGGACCCTGACAGCTTTTGCTCACTTCAAATGCATTTTGCATTCAAAACTCTATGGGAATCCAAAACTCACTTAAAACAGGTAAACTGTATTCAGCTGCATATCAAACACCCCTGTCAATAAATTCTGAA